TTTGAAGACAGTCTGGAAGCTTCCAAGGATGCAGCACTGAGAGCCGTCCACATCTGGGGAGGGGGTTGCGCTAGGTGACTTAGAAGGTGCAAAGCTAGGTGCCCCCCCAAAAAAAATCTCTGATTTTTGCATCTGCTTTAAGGCTGCTGAACATGGCAATCCCGGGCATGGCGATGCCAGGCATGGGTGGCATTCGGTTGGGTCCGCACTCCCCAGGGGAATGGATTGCAGAATTGCAGGCTCCCAGCTTTTGCACAAACGTTTCCAAGCTCTCTAGGAATAGATTCATTGGAAGCAACATTTCTCCCAAAAAAAATCTCTGATTTTTGCATCTGCTTTAAGGCTGCTGAACATGGCAATCCCGGGCATGGCGATGCCAGGCATGGGTGGCATTCGGTTGGGTCCGCACTCCCCAGGGGAATGGATTGCAGAATTGCAGGCTCCCAGCTTTTGCACAAACGTTTCCAAGCTCTCTAGGAATAGATTCATTGGAAGCAACATTTCTCTTCTCTCTNCCCCCCCCCCCCCCGTCCGTGGGAAGTTCTACAGGTTTTCGAACCGGCGTCCTGACCTCTATGGAGGGTCTCTGGGGTGATAGCCCCACGCATGTGGGGTTTTCATCTTCTTGCCTTTAAAAACGATCCCTCGATCCTGTTTCCAAAAGGGGGGAAAATCGGTCAAGGTTTTTATTCATCATTGCTGGCTCTCTATTACATGTTCGTCATCTGTTGATGGTGTTTGAGGGACTGTGTTTGTTTTTTTTTCTCTTTAATATTTATTTCATAAGCCTAGCGATTGCGGTATAACTACGCTGAATAATTAAAAGCCGGTTGACAGGATGGATTGGAGGGTAGAAAGCCGGAAAGGTGGGTGGAAGGAAAAATATAAATGCGATACGCTTCTGTAGACCTCTGTTAGACCTGTAGAAGCACTACATGCTTGAAACAAGATTGCAGCTGGGTGGTAGGGGTCTAATATTAGACCTCGGTTGCAGGTTCTTGAAAGCCACTCTTTGCTTTTCCAACCCCGTTCCCCACGCTCACACCCCAGCTCTTTTTAAGGGGATATGAATAATAATGGACTGTGATTTGAGTTGTTGTATGCTTCTGTCTTCGGGAACAGTTTCTCTAGCCCCCGTAATCTGGACTGTGATGTGAAGATAATAATGTTTTTGTGGTGTATAACCATAGGCTCTCGCAGTTCTGCCGTGGAACAAAAATTAAGCATACTGTTCAGAACAATTCAGTGCACCACAATAGCTTTTAAAGCATTTGCTGTACTCTTTTTGTCAGGACTTGCAGATGAAGGTACTTGAGCAGTTATATAACAATCCATAGCTACGAGTCATTTGCACTTTTATTCTGCTAGAATTTTATTAGATGTTCTTTCACAAACATCTGTGATTTTTTTTTGTCCAGCACAGAAAAGACACATATACACACTGCGTAGTATCTTACACATACACACACACACACACACACTGCGTAGTATCTTTCGTACTTCCCACTCAGCTGCTTAAGGAAGCATCCTTTGGAAACCTAATTCAAGAGATGCTTGCCTCAGTTCACAAGACATCCAGGAATGGCACAGCACAATAGAGGTGCCTTTTCACCCTGAGGATGATCGCCACGCTTACTGAGTCCTGTTCATTGACTGACTTCCAAAGTGCTGCTGGCATGTCCTCTTACCCTGAGCAGGGAACTTCCGACCTGCCATATTTTGGACAAGGACACTCTCCTTTGTTTAGCATGGCCTGCACTCCCTGGGGCTTCTGCCGGTTCAAACCCAAAGACAGGGAAGCCTGTGTTTCCCCACCTTCTGTAATAAAAGCTGGTTGCCAAGGCTGGCCTTCTGTTCACTTCTGACAGAAGAAATCCACAGAGTTGGAGCAGGCTTTCAGAACAAGAACAGACCTCCGTTCTAGACAGCAAAGTTTGCCGAGGTGACATTAGTTCCCCTGCCCTGTTACAAGGAATATGGCAAGAGGACCTGGTTCGCAGGATGCGTTCATCCCCTGCAGGAAGACATAGGAGCTTTTTAAAAAGCGTGTCTTTCTCCCTCGGCTCAGGGCAAGGCTAGTCACTGCCATTAATCTGCCAAGTCACTGCAGTGATAAAATCATGGGTTTCTGCATTTGTCTCTTGTGAGCAGATGTCAGGCTATTAGCAGCTTGACAATCTGTTACTAGTTAAGGGGCCATGAGACTCTCTGTTCTCATCCGTTTGGTACAGCCGAGCCACCAGAAATAACCGGGAAATCTGCATCACCAACAAAACAACACTCTTCCACCCTATCGTCCTTCCCGTACATCAGCACAGGTGGGAGACTTGTTTAAAATTTGGGGTGTAATGGGCGGGTGTTTCAAGATTTATGTTTCAGACACGGTGCATCTTTTTTTTTCCTGCTTCATGCTTGCCGTTGAATAACTTTGGGCTCTGTGTAACACACAGAAGTGTGCTTCAAGGACCCTTTTGTGTTGATCTGCCTGCTGTGAGACTGACTGCAGCGCTCTTATGCATCCTAGCATAATGTAGACTAGCCTAGGGGCTTGGGTGAGCGGAAGGTTGATTGGGCTCTGCTGGCAGATTTCTGGATAGGCTGCCGTTATCAGCACGGATTTCGGATGCTCGGTTGTCTAGCAGTCGCAGCGGCTTGAAAGCTCGCCACCCATTAGGGTGGTGTGAAAAGGGCTAGATGAAGAGGGATCGGATTCTTGCCTGAAAGGACTAGTGAATTCCACCGGGAATTGACCCACCCAATTCGCTGCTGTCTGGTTCTCATACTGGGCTGGCAAAATCCCGTTGGGTGCCACTGGGGCCTTTTCGTGCGCCCAGAAAGCCTCCCCAGAACCAACAGACATGTGGCCCCTTGTCAGCAACGAGCATCTTACCTGATGCTCATTGCCAAGGAAGCATTTGGTGGAGAGGCTTGACCATCTCCTTTGGTGATCTTTGGTGACCTGTAAGCTTCCTTTTTTTCAGTCTCTTTAACGAATACATGATATTGTTGTCAGCCCTAGAAAGGATTTGCAGTTAGGAACGCTAGAACTCTCTTAGGTTGGTCGTTGTGGCCCAGTTTTACGATCCATCCTTAACTGTAAAAGGTGCCCGTTAATTGTCACGACTAGTACCCATATTTCTTGAACAGCAGCGTGAGGGTTGTTTTTTTTCTCCCCATAACAAAATAACAGGAAACCTTTCCAGCTTTCCAAGTACAGAGTTTCATTTCCCTTCCTGAATGTCCCCGTCTGTGCCAAAAACAAAGCCACTTGGCTCTCCCAGTGCTCTTAGGACCTTGCGCATGTTGTACAAAAAATGCTTTCCGCCTTTGCTTTCAGAGTTGGCACGATGGCCTCCAATTCAGGAATCGTCCCCGAAGATGGGGAGAGCAGCAAAAATGCCACGTTGGAAAGATGCCTGAACGTGTTTCGGGATGCCAGCAACGACAGCGAGCAACTTGCGGCTCTGCTTCTGGTAAGACTCCATCATCCCACTGGGTGGAGGAGACTGCCTTCGTTTCCACAGGTTTTTCCTATAAAGCCATCTCATTGAATCCGGTTTGTCTTGGTGGGTCGGTTTGTTGAGTCTGCAAAAGGAGAGCAAGAAGAGCGCCTCGTCATTCTTAGCACTTGCACCTTTACAGGATTCAAGGGGTTGAGATAGAAATTGCTCGATGTACTTGCAGATTTTGGTTACAACCCTCATTCCTGCCTGCCAACTAAAGACAGGCAGAGGGTTGCAGCCAAGAGAAAAGGAAGCCTGCTGGGATCCAAAGCATCTTTAGAAAGGTGGGGGGGGAGAGAAGGTGCTGTGGGGTTAATTCACTAGCCCTGCAGCAGAGGAGAGGAGATGGCTCGTCCACCTGCTAGCCCAGTCAAGCTGCCCAGGAGCCTTGCACATTTCTGATGCTTCCGGGTTTCTCTTCCAGGTGACCAAAGCTGTCAAAGCCGGAGAGATCAACTCCAAAACCCGCCGGAGGATCTTTGATGCCGTTGGGTTCACCTTCCCAAATCGGCTCTTAACATCCAAGGATGCCCCCGAAGGCTGCCCGCAGCACACATTCCAAGCCCTCGGCCTCACTCTGCTGGCCTGTTTCTGCACGGATCCGGATTTGGCCCGGCACCCCCAGATCCTCAACAAAGTCCCCATCTTCAACGACGTGATTTCGTCTCCAGAGCTGGCGGAGGCTTCCTGCCACGCCATGATCGACGACACGTACCAGTGCCTCCGAGCCATCCTGGCCACCCCTAAGGGTCCCCGGGAGCTGGTGAACCGGGGGACCCTCCAGGCGCTGTGCGCCGCTTACGTGAACCACTGCTATGGCTTCGAGCAGGCGCTGCAGCTGCTGGTGGGGCTCCTGACGGCCGTGGAGGCGAAGTGCTGGCAGAGGGCCACTCTCGACCTGCTGGGCGTCCTCAACGTGCTGAGCGCCGAATTCCAGAAGGCGGAAGATATGACCAAGTTCAAGCTGTGCGAGATCCTGCCGCGCTTTGTGCCCCACCTCCTGCCTCCCGGCTCCGAGTGCCTCCCGCCGCTCTACCGAGGCCTCTCAAGCATCCTGACCAGCAAGCTGAGCCCCGCCCAGCGCGACCCGGCGTTGAAACTGGCGGCGTGCCTGTCGCAGGCCTGCGGCTCGAAGTGGGTCCCGGCCGGGAGCGCGGGCAGCAAGTTCTTTGCCTTGCTGGCCAACCTGGCGTGCGTGGAAGTCCGCCTGACCCTGGAGGAGCTCGATTTGGCGGAGCTGAGCAAGAAGCAGGAGGTGATGGCGGCCTGCTATGTCGTGATGGAGCTGGCCATCATGGAGTGCACCCGGGAGAAAGGCTCTTTGCTCCACGACGCACAGAAAGTGCAGCTGGTTGGGATCCTCGGGGAGGCCTTCCGGGCTGTCATCCACTACCTGAGACAGGTAAGCAGGAGACATCCAGCATCTTCCTCGGCAAGATAGCCCTCTCCGTCCAGAAGACAGGGAGAACTTCATAGGCCATCTAGAGATGGAGACTAGGCGCCAGGTCGGTAGGATACGTCCCGCGCTGAGCCATGGCGACACCATCCTGAAGTCGGCTCACGGAAGCAAGCTATAGTACAAGCAAGAGGCAGAAAAGGGAAAGAGGGAGGTGGTGAAGGACACCACAGCTGGGTTAAAGAGGATGAAGAAGCTCTTAGTGTCTGGCAGAGAAAGTCACAGGTTTCTCCCCAACCGGCTGTGCGTGGTCCATGCTTATGTAGGTCTTTCGGTTCAAATGATCCATCTGGGAGACCCATCAAGACCAGAGGGAAGAGGTAGGAAAATGATTTCCCAGTTTCCCTGTTCCCACTGGGTGGCTTGAGGCTCCCTTCTGGGGTCCTGCAGGCCTTGGACTGAAAGTGATGAACCTCTTTATTTCTCTGTCTCCGAGTCACAGTGGCTTATCTCAGTTCTTCCCCAGCCCATCCATCATTCTGTGATGGCTTTTCCCCTCCCTCTTATCCCCTAGGCAGGACGGAAGAAGCCAGAGGACCCGTTCGTCTTTGCTTCCGTCCGAATCCTGGCCGCCTGGCTGGCTGAAGAGACTTCTTCCCTCAAGCAGGAGATCTGTGACCTTCTTCCTTTCCTCATACAATACGCCCGGATGCAGTTTGAGGAGGAGCGGAAAAGCCGGAGCAGTTCTCAGCGCGAGACCGAGCAGGCCGGGCAAGGCAGCACCCCGGAACCGATTTGGCGAGGGGACGCGCTGAGGTGAATTCTGCAGAATTGTCTCTCTTCCCTTTTTTGACACTTTAACTGAAACATGTCTTTAGTTCTGAGAGCCGGCAGCCGTTGTATTTAGTCTGAGTTTAACCTGCTGAGTCAGAATTAATTGACTGATGAGCCAAGACTCAAAGGCCCGTTTCAGCTGCTCTCCTGTAATGTGAAGAGAAGACAAACTGGGACAGCTTCCCAGATTTGTGAATTTTTGAACTCTCTCCCCATTAGTGTGAAGTTTCTCCTTGGTAGAACAGGTGTTTGTCTTCCAGTGGCTTTGGTCTTGTGTTCTTCTGTGTAAGACTGCAATAATCTCCATATCCCCTGATCTCTGGGAGATGGATTGTGGAGTCTCACAGGGGCGTGTCTTATCACTTGTGTTGCTGAAGATTTATATTGAGCAGCTGGGGATAGGGGTCTGGCACTTCCCTGGTCTGCTGTGATCAGAATTTGAGGACACCCCGGTATATATTTTGTTGCCCTAGTAACCAGTAGCTGCAGCTTTTGTTGTAGTTAGATGGGTGAAGGCTGGGATTGACTCCAGCCAAGGCAGAGGTGCTCTTATGAAAAGGGCTCCGTTCCAGACAGCAGAAAATTCAGCTGGCAGATATTGTTGGAGCAGAGTTTGGGCTTGCTGCTGGCAACCTAGGTGGGAAAGATAGCCATTTGCGAGAAGCGCTTCTCCTGCAGTGGAAAGATGCTTTAGAGTGGATAAAAGGAGGAGCATCCTCAGTCTGGTTTACCCTCCATCTATTGCAAAAAAAAAAAAAGAGAGAGAGAGAGAGAATGGACATTTCATGGCAAGTCCTTCCTTTCTTTCTTCCTGAAAACCTTTTCTATGAATCTCAGATTCCTTCCTTCCTGAAAACCTCTTCTATGCCTCCCTCCCTCATCTTATCAGGCTAGGTAAGGGCATTGCAGCATTTCCTCTGATTTGAACAGCTCAATGTTAGGCATTTTTCAGTCTCGAGAGACTATGGTAGCGTGCTCTGTATGGAGCACATGAAATATCCTCTTTAGAAGCTGGTTAGTGAAAACTGCTGCATTCCAGCTGCAGTTATCTAGGCAGCTCAGGGATATATATGTTCTGTGCCGATTGAAGGGGCTCACCTGGCCCAGGTGAGCTCTCCTACTTGGTAATTTCACTGCTGAACCCTGTGTTTCCTCCATTTAGTGTGGCCCCAGCTTCTCCCGTCCTGCCTCTTGCGCTTCAATGTAAACCCCTCCTGCAGCAACTTAAGTGACGACCGAATACTATTACTTCTGTAGCACTGCCATTGCTTCTCCCTGGACCAGGAGGGAGCTTGGAACCACCTCCTTTCTCACCCAGCTTCCGCAGGCAAAGACAATAGCTCATTAAGATCAGGAGCGGTGGTTAGTAAGGGTTCCAAGTTCCGAGATCATGGGGGAACAGCGCTGTTCTGTAGGCATCGAACCATAACAAAAGCTCCCAGCTGAGTCATCTGCATTCAGTGCCGACCTTTTTTACCGTCTCCCTGGAGTTGAGAATCACATTAAAAGCTTGAATTGGAGGGAGGGGAGGGGGAGAGAATCACGATCTCTATTCGCTCCTGCAGTTCTCTAATGACATTGGATTTATTTACCTCTCTGTTCTGTTGTTATTGCACAGTTGGGTTTTTTTTTCAACCTTTCAACTACAATGCTAGGTTTTGTTGGATCCGAGGATGCGTGGGCGTTGGCGGCAAGGAATTGGCTGCCCGCCCACCATGCTTTCAAACATATAAAAGCAACGTTACCCTGTCTTTAAATCCAAGCCGGATGACTACATGGTAGCCTGTTCGTAGGCTCCTGAGTAAGCCAGCTGTTAAAAGCCTCTTCCTCTATTTCTAAGACATTTGTTTTCCTCTTCCAGGTTCCTGTTGCCAGGCTTAAGCCACTTGACCGCTGAGGATCAACCCCGCGAGATCCTCATTTCAGAAGGGGCCCCCATCCTCCTGTGCCAATATTTCTTGCACCGCTGGGAGAAATTTGTTTTAAACACCGAAACTGTGTCTGCTTCGAAATCGGTGGAATCCAGTCTTCAAACATCTTGTGAAATTTTCCTGAATTTTGTTGTCACTGCTCCTGATTTGATCAGGTAATGTCATAGGAGGATGCTGGAGATTTAGTAGTCCCATCATATTTTATAGAATTTTCCAATCAAGTGTATGCCACTTGTGTTTACTATGGGGGGGGGGCTGTTTAAAGGTTAGTGTCTGTATACAAGAACAGATCTTTCCAACACATTTGCCAAGTAACATGGAAACTCGCAGTGAGCCTAAGAAGATATGAATGAATGAATGAATGAATGAATGAATGAATGAATGAATGAATGAATGAATGAATGAATGAATGAATGAATGAATGAATGAATGAATGACTTCACCATTCAGCTGTGATGCTAAAGAGGTGGATGAGGCTGGGTCAAGCGCAGACACACACACAGAGAGAGAGAGAGACCTGTCCTGGACTGTCAGGGCAAAAATGAGAGAACCCTGCTTACCTCGCAGGAGCAGCTTTGGAAAAACACAGAATGCAAGGCCACTGGAATTCAGAAAGGAAACTCCCTGCTTTGCTCTTCCTTTTTCTGCAGCCGAGAAGAATGCTTTGCAGCTTTGATGGACACCTTGCTGAAGTCCCTCCCTTCTCTGTTGCCCCAGAGAGAACACCTCACCCTGACAGCCAACGTGACCACGCTGGGGCTCATGATGGCCAAAAGGCTGTTCGCTTATCCAGGCAAGAAACCATAGTCATTCGCTAAGATCCACCTGGAAAGGCAGCACAGTAACGGTGGCCTAGTTTTCGCTTTGGGGGTGAATCCGTGAGTGGGCTGGTTAGGAGTGGGTGCTCACATGACTGAATTTTCACACCTCCTGTCAGAGGGAGACTCACATGATGAAATGCTCATATCATTTTCTATTTTCTCTATTAAGTCTCTTCTCGGAGAGCTAAATAAGACACGACAGCAGGGTGGGTCAATGACTATTTTTTTTCACAATTGAAATCAAAAGTACCTTTTTTGATTTAATTCGTCATAAAAATCCATTTTTTAAAAAAATTCAAATCATGGTTTACACCAATTTGATTGAAATCAAATCCATGCTGCATAGCAGGGAAAGATTTTGCCCAGGATTTTTTCCCATGTGGAGGTCTTATTTTTTTAAAGGAAAATCTAGCTCAGTGGCTTAGATCTTTGGCAAAAACTGCTGGAGAACTCAGTGGTTTAGGCATCCGGCTATGGAGCCAAAGGCTGCGAGTTCAATTCCCAACAGGGCCTCTTTGTCCGAGGCTGGACTTGATGATCCATCGGGGTCCCTTCCAGCTCTGCAGTTCTAAGCTGGTGGTGGTTATTATAAATGACCCTGTTCAACCTACGATCCAGAAGAGGTCTAGCCCAGGTAGAGATTTATCTCCTCAGTGAATATGACACCTGTGTGACCAGGTAGGTGACACTCATGATGACCTCACTGCTCCATGAGAAGATTATAGAGCATCCTATTCTTTCTTGGGTCACCCCAGTGATGCTTCTTCCAGTGAAAATTGGGGATCGGCGGGTTTGGGGTTGTTTGTTTTGCTTGGATCCGGTGACAAATTGAAGCCAAAGGGCTGGAATAGAAGGTGGGTCATGGAGCCCGTGGCCCTCTAGAACAGACATTTTCAACCATGGCCGTACGATCCCCCTGGGGGGCCCTGGCACATTGGAAGTGGACCCCAGACAGGAAACAATTCTTCATAAGGTTCATTATGCAACTTGCACAGTCCTGTTTCCGCCTGCATTCCTTTCATATTGTGCTCATGGCCATCCATCGTCTCCTCTCCGTGCGACTGTCCCACCAAAGCAGGAGCACACTTTCCGCCTGCATTCCTTTCATATTGTGCTGATGGCCAAAGGAAAAGTTGAGAATGGCTGCTCTAGAACAGGGTTCCCAACCTTGGGTAACCAAGTGATCTTGGACTGCAACTCCCAGAAACCCTGGCCAGCGCAGCCGGTGGTGAAAAGGCTTCTGGGAGTTGCAGATAGGCTGAATCCCATTCATGTGCTACAGTTCTGGAATGGGCCAGCCCTCTCTTGTTTGAACACCGCAGGACGTGGGGGTTGGCCGCCTGTGTTTAGCCCTTTCAAGTAACCTGACAAAGTCCCTCGGCTGGTTAAAAATAGGGTTAGAGAGCACGCGACGCGCCAAATGGTGTAGGATCACAATGCCCATGGTCCCCTGCTATGGCCTGGGCTTGCAGTGAGTGATGGGAGTTGTAGTCCAATGGCATCTGAAGGGTTAAACGTACCTCAGTCCATGAGAAAGGGTCAAAAAGGAACATTTTTAAGGTAAGGTAACTTTTAATGCTTACCTGTTTTTAATTATTCAGTTGTATTTTAATCAGTATTATGGCTTTTTAAAAAAATCTATACTATCTAGTATATTAAGTTTTTAATCCTATTCCTCTTAATACTGAGAGCCACCTCAGGTCCGCCTTTCAGGAGAAAGGCAGCCTCCGAATAAAATAAGCAAACATGGATCTCTTCCTGCTGTTCCTAATGAGAAGGGGGCCTGAATGTCCCTTCCCTCACCACCACCGCAGCTGCTCCCCCACTCGCCAGCTGGCGCGCACTGCTCGTCTCCTCTCCGTGCGACTGTCCCACCAAAGCAGGAGCACACGCTTCCCTTCTCTGCCTCCTCTGGCAGCCGCCTGGGAGCAGGCGCACCTGCTGGGACTGGACGATGGCGAAAACAGCAGGAGAAAGTGGGGGGTGCTGCCTGTTGCGTGGGGGAGCCAGCCAGGGGGTCGGGGAAAAGGCACACGCAGGACATGTGGTGCCGCACGGACAAACTGGCATTATCCTCCAAACCGAGACACATGCTCCTCTCTACTCCTGATCTCTTGGACTGGCTGTATCGGCCTAAAAAGGCAACTTGGGGGGTGGGGGAGAGGGAGCCTGTTTCCAGAGTGGACGAAAGTTGATGTTAGCAGATGCCCACCTGACACGACTCTTCCTTCCTGTCTTTCAGGTCTCCAGGGGACTCCGGAAGCCGAGGGCTTCTTCGTAGCTGCCATCCGTTTCCTGGCAGATGCTTACGTGCCCCAGCCGGGTCCAGACGGGGAGATCATGGTCCTGAGCGTGAACCCAGCCTATAAGGCCGCCTGGCCAGCCATCCGTGAGTTGTGGTTCCTGAGCATGCAGGCCTTCGCCAGCTGCGTGCCCCTCTTCCTGTGGCTGCCACAGGACGTCCTGCGCTCCGGCTGGCTCCAGGAGCTCCTGGCATCCTTGGGCCGGGTGACTCCGAAGTCCGTGGATATGGAAGTGGCCAGAGCTTACCAAGGCATCTTGGTGGAACTGGCCAGAGCCAGCCAGCCGTGTTTGGAGATGATCCAGCAGCACCAGGGTTTGGAGCTGGCCAGCCTGCACGGGATGGCGGCCTTGGAGCAATGCCTCTCAGAGCAGTGAGCGGGCGCCGCTTATTAACGTGGTGGTAGGAAAAAGTGTTTTTTATGCCTCTCAGAGCAGTGAGCGGGCGCCTCTTATTAACGTGGTGGTAGGGAAAAAAAGTGTTTTTTTCCCCCCCGAAGCAGTGTTATAATTCTGTTTCACACAGACGGGTGCTCTGTAGTCAATAGAGCACAGATCCGGCAGGCCTCTCTTCTTCCCAGGCGGCTGCACACAGTTATAAAGCATAACGTGATTTCTATTTATTTATTTATTTATTTAACTCATGCATTCGCATAACGTGATTTCTATTTATTTATTTATATATTTATTTAACTCATGCATTCATTCCTCCTGCTGTTTGGATGCTGCTTTTTCAGGGGCAGAGAAGCCCTCTCGAGGCGGCGCACAGAAATGCTACGAAAACCAGTGTTCATTTGTTTTCAGCCAATTAAAGCAGCACCCCCCAAAAAAGGGACTCAAATCAAAACCAGCAATTCACAAAACACATCGTGTAGAGGGGAGGGGAAAACTCACACAGCCGCACCAAGCGGTGGTAATTTTAAAAAAAATCCCATTCCAAAGGCGTGAATTAAAAGAGTGAAATGAAAAGGTCTTTGAGGCTCATCTTAAAAACAAAAACGGGCACGCACACACACACAAAGAAAATCAAGAGGGGCCAAACGTGTGACTTGTAGCTAGGAGTTGCACAGAGACGGGACCACCACATACACACACACACGCACAAAAAAAACCCCACAAAAAGGCTAATGGTGTTGTCTTAATTGCATGTTTTTCCTAACTCTCTGTGATATCGTAGAGTAACACGAAGCAAAAGTCTTACCTGCTGACAGTAAAACAGTTGCACAATGTATGCCGTTTGCACGCTAGCGCCCGCTCGGTGCCTCCCGTGTGCACTGTGGGGAGGGGAAGCTCGTTTTGCTCTGGAGAGGACGTAGCCTGCAGCTAAAGGGTATTGGGTGGTGCCATCCCAGTGCAGAAAGGGGAGAGCACGTAGCTCCACCTCGTGACTAGCCCAAGTGTCCTTTTATCAGAGAATCTTTTATCAGACGTCTGGATCAGCTGAAGTTCTGTCCTTCCCCTCAAAGGGCAGAATGGCCAGCTCTTCGACCGTCGCAGTCGGTGGCTTCAGCCATGGTTGAAGCACCTTCCTTAAGGGTCCCCAGGGCCCCACGTGCAGTCCGTCCTCTTACTTCAAGGGCAGCTCACAAGGAAACCAAGAACTATTTTAAAAAACGTCATACGTCATCAGGATCCTTCTCGCAGGGCAGCTAAGTGTCCATTTGCGTTTGGCTAGATTTATTTTTATTTTTATTATTTTGAATTTGATAAATTTTATACCCTACTTTCCAAGCCAAATGAAGAAACCTATTCCCACCCAAGTGGCTTATTATTATTATTATTTTATAAATAAGCAGACAACTTCAGTAGGACGAAAACTGTTTTTAAAAAAAGGATGGGCGCGGGGAAGACAATCATGCGGGAGGTCGCTGGGGAGCCTCCTTTTCCCTTGTCTCTTTCACCCACCCCGGTTCTTTTCCCACGGGACGGTTGATGGCCCGGTGGAGGGGTTGGGTGGCAGGGGACAAAATTAGGCCACAGAGGGTCAAACAGCCAATTCCCTTTGAATGGGTCGCTGTTCCAGGTCGAGGGATTTCCCCGGGCCAGATTTCTAGAAGTGGGATTTAAAACTCTCCGGACTGTGAACGCTTGCTTGTTATGGCTTCTCTGTATTGTTCTCAGCATGGAGTCTCCTGCATGCAGCCAGTAAATATTATGTTCCTGAGTTGGAGCAGGATCGGGCTCCAAAGCTCTGGCCTTGGCTCATTCTCCTGGTGTTTCTTGGTTCAGTAAATAAAAGTGATTTGTCTTGTAATAAAGGCCTGGTTGCTCTTGATGGGTGTGTCCTGTCTTCACTGCCTGAAGTTCACCAGAAGCGTCTTCTCTCTCTCTCTCTCTCCTTCCTTGTTCTCACAATGTCACTGTATTTGCTGCAAACAGAGGCAATGTGTGGCACATAGACCAGCCCACCCGCCCACCCAAACTGAGTCAGAGCGAGCAAGAAGGGAAATCCTCCTCAATGATACGATAGATCCTCGTGCTCCGGTATTTGGTTGCCAGACGGCCCATGGAAAGCTTGAGAACGGCACACGAGTGCAACAGCTTTCCCGTTTTGCTCCACCATCTGGTCTTCACAGGTTCCTCGTCTCGAATCATGGAGGTTACGTTTAGCTAATGCCCACGGATGGACCCGTCTGTCGCCAGGTAAAGAAGTGACACAAGCTCTCCAGCGGTTGCTTCCAGATTCCAAGTGACCTTAAAATAGAGGATGCCATCAGGAAAGGAGAAAAGATTTCACAGTTGTGGGCGACTCAAGGTTCAATCCATCTTGTGGCATAGGTAAAATTTGTAGCCATCCTGGAGTGCAGGGTCTAAAGTGCAATAGAACTTGCATGAAAACAGGAGAGGCAGCCCTGGATGGGGTCCTTAGTGAAGGCTACTGCATTTAATTGATATGTACATAGAAGATTATGGTGCTGTTGAAGACTCTTGAGAGTCCCTTGGACTGCAAGGAGAAAACCTATCCATTTTGAAGGAAATCAACCCTGAGTGCTCACTGGGAGGACAGATCTTGAAGCTGAGGTTCCAATACTTTGAAAAGAGAAGCCTTCCTAGAGAAGACCCTGATATTGGGAAAGAGTGAAGGCAAGAGGAGAAGGAGACGCCGGAGGACGAGATGGATGGACAGGATCACCGAAGCAACCAACAGTAATCTGACCCAACTCCGGGAGGTTTGACCCAAATCCGGGAGGCAGTGGAAGGCGGGGGGGCCTTTCATGCTCTGGTCCATGGGGTCACGAAGAGTTGGACACAATGACTAAACAAAAACAACATGGAAGATCGTTCACGACTTAACGACTAAACAAAAACAACATGGAAGATTGTCATGGAGGCTTAGCGTATTTGACCTCAAAAGGGAAACCTCAGAAATGAAAGGGCTGAGTGAACAGGAAATGCAAGAGGGTCAAAGCTCTCCAGAATGCTTCTGGGTTACTCCAGACCCTAAAAATAAAAAGATTCACGTCACAGGATTAGGAAGAGTACTACCCAGTCTGGTTGTACACCACTACGGTTAATACTTTATATCAAAGAAGCCGCAGGGAGGGAGAGGGGCATTGTGCAAAACAAGTCCTACAGAAAGAACATAGAAAAGCAAGGAACAAAAATTGCACCGAAATAATAACATCATGAGCAGATTTTTTTAAAAAACAGCATATCTGGAAACTGCCAAAGATGATTGTACGAGACGTTAATTAAAAGGCAATTACAGAGAGGAGCAGAATGAACTGCTTGCTGGTGTCTACATTCTGCAGGAGATAAGTAACATTTTCAAGAGGGGAACTGGAAGATTTTAGCCAAAATAGTAAGGAGACGTTTTACATTAGCAAAAGGATTATCAACAAACTAGAAATCACCAGATCCAGAAGGAATCCATTGGCTTGTTCTTAAAAGACCTTGATTTTTTAAATAAAAAAAAATCACCCGTAAGATATGGGAACTTAAAATGCTAGTGGGCATTATAAAACCAATGTTTAAAAAGGGATATAAGGATATCCAAGTTGGTTAGCTTACCAGCTTTTCTGGGTGATTTGGTGGAAGTTATTATTAAAGACAAAATTACCAAGCACCTATAAAGTAGTTGTCAAATCACAGCTTCTACAGAGAAAGGTTTGTCTCACTAACATTTTAAGAGATTTTTTAGGTACATTAATAAGCACAGAATAATGAAGTTGACAGTGGCATATAAGGCTTGGCTTCCAGACCCCTGATCATCCTTGTTGCCCGCCTCTGAACTGGTTTTAGTTTGCCTACCTCCTTTTTTTTTCAAGCAAGTTTTTTTTATTATTTTCAGACATACCTATGTACAAACAAACAAAACCCTATAGGACAATCAAAAAAATTATATAAGACAGACGCAACATATGAGCAGGGAGGTATTTTCCATGCAGGCTTATCCATTATATACTTCTCACTACAGTAGATCTTATCCCCTATTCTCATACTACATCATGTTATAGCCATATGTATCTACACACTTTTCGTATATTTCAAAATATCTAATTTTGTATTTACCATTCTAAATTTATCATAATTTTATAAATTCTTTCACCTGCATCCCCATCTATCCAATACTCATCATAAACATTTCTAATTTTATCTTCAAGATAGCTTATCCACCAAAATAATCCAAGCTATGGACAGTTTGCCTACCTCCTTTTAAGGGCCGTATCCAGCAGCACAGGACTTGAGATGAGGCGTAACCAGTGCCAAATAAAGGGAAACTAGTATGGCTCATGCACTTCCTGGGTGTAGAACTTTGCACTTATCCCCTGTTAAATTTTATTCTGTTGTTATCAGCCCGGCACTTAAGCCTGTCAAGATCTTTTTGAATTCTGTCTCTGCTGCTCCACTCAATTTTGTGCCATCTGGAAATCTGATCATCATTCCCTTTCATCCAACTCATTGATAATTTTGATGAGCACAGGGTGGGGACTGAGCCTTGTGGCACCCCATTTGTTACCTCCTTCCAGTTTGAGAAACACCCATTGATAAGCACCCTTTGACTAGGATTCTGTAACCAACTGTGTACTCATCTGACAATTGTTCTATCCAGCCTGCACTCAGATTACTAATCAGAATATCAATGAGCGCTTTGTCAAAAGCTTTGCTGTAGTGAAGATATATTGCATCTCTGGGGAGATTGCCCAATCAGCGTGTTGATAGGGAATATCCTTGGATTTGCTAAAGAGGTCCTAATCAAAGATTCCTGAGGAAACTTAGCAGTTGTGAGATAAGAGATCATCTTTATGGGTTGATAACTGCTAGAAAAGTAGGAAGAAAAGAATAGATATTAACTCTATTCCCTCACCGGAGGGTTGAAAATGGTGGACGCAGTTGTGAGATAAGAGATCATCTTTATGAGTCGATAACTGGTAGAAAAGTAGGAAGAATAGAAATTGACTCTATTACCTCACCGGAGGGTTGAAAATGGTGGAGTTGCCAAGAATGTGGATTGCCACCACTGTTTTTAAACTATCTGAAGTACGAAGTGGTCAAGTCTGAAGGTGACACCGACTTTTTAAGGATAGTTAAAACTGAAAAGGACAGCAAAGGACTCCCAAGTTGATCTTTCAAAGCTGTGCAAATATTGCTCAGTGGCGAATGTAGAAAAGCATAAAATATCACACACACACACCCCTATGCTGA